GCAGAACCAGGCTCAGGGAGGGGCGGGGCCATCTGCTGTGACCGGTTGGGGTGAGAGAAGAAGGACAGGATAAAGACATGCTGTGGAAGAGAGAGAGAGATTAACAAGTGTGATTCAATGCAGAGAGGTCTATTAACACATGTTGAGTGAGAAAGGTGACTGAAAAGGAAATACTCAATGCATCATGGGAATCCCCCAGCAGTCTACACGTATAGCAGCATAACTAAGGGAGGATTCAGGGTCACCTAAACAAATATAGAAAACATTTTACAATACATGCTGAGGCTAAGCATGGAAAATGATTGTCATTGTGACATATCAGCATGCCATCACACTGCCAGCTCATGAACCGTCTATCTATCATCAGCAAGGAATCTGATCTTTAAGTGTTGACATATGAACCCTGCTTCAGGGTCAAAACTACTCTGCGTTTATTAAAGCTGTTGTGTGTTTAACATGTTTTAATGCTTTGTATCTTGTTCTATTTAATCTGAACAAGCCCCTAAAAAAGTCAGTGATCACTGTCGGCCTCTCTCAATTTTATTACCACTGTTTATTTTAAAGCTTCGTTTTTAAAACCTTATTGTTACTCCCCTCGAGTCGTAATAAAGCTCAACTTGTTCCTTACGTTTTAACTGACATTTATTTCGGACAGGAGGATTCTTCGACATGCCTTAACATGTAATGATGTCCAACCACAGCCGATACAATGCCGTCAGAACTAAAAAGAAATACAAACTTAAATGAATATTCTTAATAAAGCCCTTAAGCGTTATATATAACAAAACATTCCAACAAAACAATCAATAAAATACACATTACACCTCACACTGCGGTAATTGCACTCGAATATCACGCAACACTAGCGTATTTACATACAACGATAATAAACAAAAGAAAACATTTACCTCATTGGCCTCACTCAAAGGGAATAAAACTTTAATCCTTACGTCGTGGGGAGGTCCAAAAAAGGCACTCTTTTATTTATCTTACTGTAGACGTGCAAACCTTGTGGCTCATCTCTCAATTAACTTGCTGAGTGTGACAGCCAAAAAATACCCTCTTAGCAATAACAGACGGAACTATAGAAACGGTTCCTATCTAATTGCACAATTAGCACAAATAACACATTTAAACATATAAATCTAAAGAACAAAACATGAATTAGTATTTATTTATTTCTTATTTCTTAATATTTCAACTACTAATTGTTTCAACCTTATATATCTAATAAAATGAACTTAAATGCGAGAGTTGCCTATGACGGCAGCTCACTTATGATGTCACTACAGCCCAGCTCATGCAGCATTAATGACTAACCTCGTATTGTGGATGGATTATCTCAGTTATTCTCCTGACTGAAGTTTGGTCTGTTTACAGCATCCTGCCATGCGACTGTATTTGTCCCTAACCATCGGGAACCCTCACATTAACTTTTATTGAGTGGAAAAAGTTAGCGTTCCTCCTCCAGCTTCACTGTGTTTATGTTATGCTAACTTAGCTGTGTATCTAGCAATCATGTAGCACATCATTATATACCAGCTAGCCCAACTTGAGTAACCCTACAAACGTCACTGCTGTTTAGTTTTCTGTCTTCATTTATGTTGGAAGTGATAGCAGAGCTGCACGTCTTAATTTGTTTCAGAAATCTCTCAGTCAGAATATGCAATATTATATTTAGATGGAAATTAGCGAG